GCTAGGATTGTTCTAGACATGACCCGTCTAATCAAAAATACGTCTGATCCACCAGGAGTTTGATTTACTAGATAGCATCTCTCCCTGTATTGGAAATGTTGCTAGGGATCGGTGTCTATTTTGTTTTGCTGCTGATTTTTGTATTCGTTGGTTAAAATTTTATTTTACAGGAATTTGACAAATGTAAGGTTTTGGCCAGTAACCATTCATGTTGGCGTAAACAGTTGTAATCTAGGTGGTTTTAATGGCAAAAGACGATGCAAATGCTTTTTATTGTGAGTTTTCTGCACGTTGGCTTTTATTATCGAATTTTATTTCTTGTATTTGTTCCCACGATCTTATTTCAGCCACAGTTCTTATAACCCTTTAATCCATAAGTACTAGAAAATCATATACACAGATTTTGCTTACAAAATATTTGATAAACTACAAAAGATTAAACGAAAAGGATATAATATTTTAAGACAGTACGAAGATTAAATGAATGCATAAATATTTTGTAAAGAGAGTAAACATTATGTAAATTAACAGAGTAAGGGAACCAGCTGCCTGTCAGAGAATATTACCATGTACAGTAAGTACCGTACATGAACAATTAAATCGTAGTTTTTTTAATATTACAAGGATAAGACCAAAACTGTTTGCATGGTATCAGATAATATTTAAATAATCTTTAATTGTACACATGGGAAAAGATGGCCAATCCTCACAAACAACGACTGTTGGAATAAACTGTGCTGAAGAGTCGTTACTGTGAGGATAAAAGATGGATTGAGAGTTGAACTCTTTTAATTTTATTATAGTCGTACTTACTTCAACTAAAGTATGCCTAGTTATTTTATGTAATTCTTCAAACACATTTTCGAAATAGCCACTACCATACGAGGATTTTCATGAACAGTTAAGTATAATGGCAGCCGATCTTTTACAACACATAATATGCATTACATTAGTTATTCAAATACTATGGTATACCTCACCAGAAATGAAACAACTCTAATTTTGAATTAAGAAATTAAGAATAATAAAATAAAAATAAAATTTTTTATAAGAAAAATTAAATACGGTACCGCGTAAACAAGTGATGCGTATTCAACTCAACTAATATGGTAAACGTACAGTACATGCCTTTTTAGACAAATGTGAATCATAGTTGAGTTCTTGGAGAAACAAAATAAATAATAATATGTTGCCTTTGATGTAACAAATTCTGCTTATAAATAGGCTTCGTACATTTTATCAACCACATTTTTAGTAGAAATATATTTGAATTAAACCTTTATATTTTTATTCCAAAAACCATATTGAGTACCCAATGAAATAACCCAATAGATTATTGTTTGGAACTCATTAAGTAATAGTTATAGTTTTAAATATCATAAAAATTTGTTTAGTAAACAACTAATTTAAAATCTTATTTGAAGCAATGGTTTCCAGGAACACAATTAATTGTGCATATTATCTGATATTGATGGATTTATCTCTTAAAAGATACGTAGGCCTAGAGTACTTTTTTGCAGGTTTGGTCTTACTCGCAATACACCATTAAAAAAATGATATACAAAACATGTTTATACAATATTAAGTAATTTACATTATATTGCTAGACAATACTTCTGGTCGGACTTTAGACACAGGTAGGGATGCTTTAAAACAAATACCGGTAATTATTTTATTAATTACAATCAAATATTCATAGAGCTGACAGGTTTATTTTAAAATTGTACATTACATCTTAAAAGATATTTATTTGTGTTAGAAGTATACAGAGTTTAAATATTAAAACCATGCAATCTATTTACTTTTTTAATATCTGAGTATTGTAGGCGTAAAGAACAGTATTACATTTAGGTTGATGAAGATGTAAATGGAATTAGAAAGAAAAAATCATCTTATCATATGAAATATTAATTGTAAAAACTTCAAGTTTGTTTTCATGCCACATAATCTTTAATCGCAAACTATACTTTTTATTGTTATGAAATACTGCTAGTTTTGCAATCGACAAGATAGCTTAATGGAAGAACTGATATATTTATGTTTTATTCCAAATACCAAAGCTACCGAGAATATCTAAAATTTGTTCCAATGTTGTTCTCTTTCATGCTAAACCTAATCCATATTTTGCTTTAAAAAGATTATTTGCATTATTTCAAGAGTCATTATGTTTTCCGTTAATGTTCAACCAAGCTCGGTTTACAAGAACTGTGCGTTTGTAGTGTAAATGTCGCTCCAACGGGGGAGGTCCCCTTTTAATCACATTGATAAATATTTTACTTTCGATAAGCTGTTACTATGACAACAGGGGTGGAAAACAAAACAGTTTTCCATTACCTATATTTGGTGGAATATCATTTTTAAATACTATGGGTACTGTTGATAAACTCGTAATGTGATAGTGTTAATAATTACAAGTATATTTTTAAAAATACTTAAAGAAAGCCGTCAAATCGTAATTATAAGGAAAATAAAAAAAATATAAAGAGTAAGTTCAAAGTATTGTTTTTTTAGTATGGATTAAATTAAGAGTAGTTCTACTATTTCATTTACTACTCTTATAGAATATGCATTTTGAAAAATACTTGAGCATTGTTTCAACTTAAGGGAAATGGGGCCATCAAAAGAAATAAAATTGAAGGATTCTTTTCCAAATTTCCACGAATAAAATATTTATAAACCCAAAATTTCACAATGAGTGAGTCTCCATTTATTAAACAAAATACACTCCCATGATACTTCTTGTATATCTTATTCAATTAGTTAGGATGATTAAATAATAATCAAATTTATGATAAATTATTAAGTACACTGAAACTAAAAAAAAAAGATATTCACAAAACAAAGTTATTTACTTCCTTATATTCATCACTTTCATTCTAGCAAATTACACTTTCGTCTGGTTGCTCGTGATAGAAAATTCCTCCGTTGCATAAAACCTGTATAGGCCTACCAAGCGAATGTACAGTTGTAAATATTGTGAATTTTGTATACAAACAGTTTTTATACTAAAAGGGAAAGCATGTTTGTGTGTTATGCCTAATATCATAATAACATTTCACTCACTAAGTACGGCTGGCTGCAATGCGGAATATACTAGCGTTTTTGTCAAATGTTCAAAGACTACGTTTAAACAAGTTATTTTTAATTTTATATTTAACAATATATCTATTAAAATCTGCTTTATTTTGTTTGCGCTCTATGGTAGACAACATAGTTTGTTTGGCACTGTTAATGTTTTGATAACCAATGTGTGTAGTATATTATTCTGTAACAAATTGTGTATATCCTAAGCTGAATAAAGATAAAATAATACTGGAGTTTTTAAATCGTATTGAGGTAAATCATTTCTAACCGTCATATGTTTATTTAATCTCTAAATAGAAATTGTATTATGTTGTTATTAATTATCAGGACGAATTAGACAAATTAATATTATTATATTTAACTTTTCAGCCGTCCCATTTTCATTAAAAATTATCATTTAATGTAAGATTCGAACCGTTCCCATGGCATGCATTTGCCAAATACACTCTCAAATAAGAGCACTAGTTATTTTTATTTTCTATAAATTGTTTTATACATAGGCCTATTAGCATTATTTGTATCGTTGAAACCGAACTTATCGGTGAGTTAGAAAATTTTTGATATCTTAATTGCGTTTGACTTTTATGAAAATTATAACTTAAATAATACTATATCTTCGTTAATATTAGATAAAAGGCCAATCTGACACTGATTACTGACTACCTATACATTTCAACATGAAGCTGATATGAAATCAACTCTTCTTTTACAATATTCTAAACATAATTTTAATTTATAATAAAACCCATATATATCTGATTATAAATTTTTATGATTATGATTATGATTATAAATTTAAAAAATCTGTGATTTGGGTAATCTGATGTCCTTAAAATGTATAAGTTCGCCTAATCCAGGTTAAATTATAGTATGAATTAAATATATTCTATCATAGGATAGGGCCTACATGTTTACACTTTATTTTTAAGAATACATTTCCGATTAGATATTTTAGTCTTATATGGTCAGCGTGTAAATTTAATGTTCCTATATAGTTTCAACTGAAACCCATAGAAAGTTTGGTCAAACCAATGATCTAAAGGCAAGGAAAATCTTTGTTAAATCCATGTCAAAGTTCATATTTGATAAGTCTTGAGCTATGAAAGTATAAAATAACAAAAATGATTCTAAACAATAACGGCCCACTAAAATCATACGACGTGTGTTTTATCTTGCCATAGAATTTTTGTTCAGTAAACTTGATTATATTTACGAGCAGCAAGCTTGGAATTCGGCGTCTCAGTTAAATAAACGTTGTTTAAAACAGTTATTCAGTGTTTCAATACTGACGATGATTCAGTACAAACTAAGCTGGTTTGACATAGCATAGCTTTGTGATTACACTTGTTAGCCAATTTAAATTGTTTACGGTTTTTAACAGAAAGCCAAGGTAGTTCGGTCGGTTTTATCAAACTATTTGTGATATTCTAAACAGATGTAATTTGTGTTTGGTAGACATTTGTTTGTCAACGCGTTAAGAGACAGCAGTTATCATAAGTTTTAGAGGAATTTATTTGTTGTCAAAATAATATCATCCGAATTTGATGTGCGACTTAGAATCGGTATGTGATTGTTTGCAAAACATTGTAAGCTAGTAACTTATTTCAAATTAAATAAGTAGCTTTATTCAAGTTTTATGGTATTTTTGCCACAAATTTAAATTTTTACAGTTAGTTTTATAGCCTCGATCTGTGCGTTTCATCAAAGGGACATTTCTTCAGTTGGTGCTTTGCATTTTATATTCTCTGCGATTGACCTTTTGATGTTGTATATTTATCCTTAATGAGTAAATCAGAGGAAATCTTCCCCGAGCACGAGTTAACTGTTTCGGGGAAGTATTTTCTTTACAGCGTAAAGTGGATATAAAACTAATGGCACATTGTTAAAGATAAGTAAACATACAACAATTACCCTACCTTGAGGTTTGGGAACGTTTCTCTTGACCTGCATCCACTTGTAGGTAGGTACAACTTGCTGGGGCGATGGACGATGCCTCTGGTCGTAGTCAAGGGTCGGCATCCCGTGGGGAACAACCTCCTCTTTGACCGAAGGAAAGTGAGGTAGTGAAGTCTCCTGGTGAAAGTGTTGACTCCCGTCTGACAAAGTCCCTGGTACCTGGTGGTAGGCGTTGTTGTGGTTGTGTAGAACGTAGCCCTCCTCGTGGTGATGGTGGTGGTGATGATGAAGAAGATCCTGCTGTAGCTGAACCTCCTCTTGATGCTTCTGAGGGTACTGAAGTCGCTCAAAGTTCGGTTCAGTCTTCTGATAGTTCGGATTGCCGCAATCCAGGTCGGTGTAGCTGAGGCCGTTAGAAGTTATGATGTTGAAAGATTCCACTTGATGAGAATGTCCCAAGTGATAGAACCCGTCTTCGTGTGGGATCTTTTGACACTCTCTTTGGCACATATCTTGATATTCTTGATATCCTTCGACAGAATAAAATCCAGAGTTGTAACCTCTTGCCGGGGAATTCCCTGCTCTCCCGAAATGCTCTGTTGAACCGTGATCTTCAAACCCGTGAAATTGAGATCCATGAGAATCGTCTGCAGCATTAACTCCGTATCCCATCGCGTATTCTCCAGAATAAATCCCACCACTGTTGTTGTACATGCCCAAGTTCATAGTCATCATTTTTCAAAACATCGAAATTTTAACCGCGTCTAGTTACGATTTGATAAAACCTCTAGAGGCAGAACAATCTTTATATTCAGAGTGCGTACTCCGAGACTCAGGCGGTTTAGTAAAGGGTTCTGTCACGAGACATATTACAAAGTTGACACTTCACCTTAGTCTGTGAACGCGACTGGTGGCGGGCTCGGACGCGTCAACGCGGCTGCTCGTCGGCAACTGAAGCGCGTATCAGTACCGTCAGGGGGAGTGGCCACGGGGTGGTAAAAGGAGGGGACGGAACTCTCGACCAATCACAGCGCCTCGTTCCTATCTCCTATTGAGATGTCACACTCGCCGTGTTCCTATGATGGATTAGACAGTTTTTAGTTCTAGCTTTTCTTCTCCCTCGGCCAGATGTATGTGTAATTGTAGCAGCGCTTTTGTTATGGAAGTGGCTACCGTCCCCCCCCCCCTCCCCCCGGCTACCATGACCCTCATCTCTATTCATTGACGTGTGATTCAATAGGCTTTTGTGCTCTTGAAAATGGCTCCCTTTCGCTACGACATGTGCTGAAACACTCGTATGAATATGTTAGTCTTCGCCGGATGTTGACTTATGTTTCTCTCCTCCATTGTCACGCTGTTACTACAAGCTACAAACTACTACGGTAGATGATTAGCTTATCCTGCACCAGCTATTCAATGCTCGCTCCATTACAACTGTACTGTATGATGAACGATCCAAAGCGTTATGATATAGGGACACGATACATCTTTATATAACTTGCTTGGCCGATATCACAAGTACAATATGTACAACTATCTAGAGAATGAACAGACAATAATTCTGTCTGGTTTTTAGCTCACATTTAAAACTGTTTATCTTCATGCAAAAATCTACCAAAATCTAAACTTGGGAAACTATACTCAAACATTACTGTAAATAATGATGTTTATTGAATAACTGGGCTCTTTAATGATTTAACGAACGTATTTAGATAGCTTTGACGCTCTGGTAAGAAAAAACACACTTGTTTTTCCAGTGTTCACAATAATCCTAGGACGCGTTCACAGGTAATATCAGATTATCCAGTAATAGGTATTGTTGTAAAAATAATATTTGGCAACATCTTACCTAAGGTCGTTATTAGGACAATTGTGTTCTGCACAGTATTTATCAAGTATGCCTTAATGACGAAAAGTGAATAGTATTTTTAGCACCAGAATAGCATTGAAAACTGTGTCTATCAGTGTTGGAGCAGCTAGAGAGTGGTTATGTGCCATATTTTTTAAACAAACGTTACTGATTAAAATATTAAAATGCAAAATTAAATCGTATAAACCAATTAAAACCACTAAAAACTACACAAGCTAAACAATTTTTGGTAAGCATTACTAGATAAAAATTAGGATGCGTAAACGTAATCCTCAAGGAAGACATATTGAGCAGACTTTATTGTGTTTAGCTTACGAAGGAAATTACTATTGTCAATAATGTATTTTAGGGGTGGATATTTCAAATCAATGGTACATGCCTACTATCAAATGTAGACATATTACTTTTTCGTATAAATAAAACACTACCATGCAATCTATTGAAATTAGCTTTGACTATCGATAAAATAGACATCCCATTCCAACTGTAAATTTGTAACCAGTTTTAGAGTAAAAGGTGGATGACTATGTGTCAACTTTTAACCAATCCAAACTTATTGTGAACTATATCATCTTGAATGTCACATCAACCATCAAAGTGACTCAAAATAAGGGAAAATATAATTTTGACAGAAGCACATTCCGTGAGAGGATCATTGATCTTGTTTCTATTTGAATTAAACATCTACGGCTGTATCATATAGATAAGACTTTTCCAGTTTCCGAAGTTTAATGGTTTCAGATTTTTTTATCTAGGCCTACTGGTAAGTTAGGTAAACCCACAGAATGTTTTATGATGGGCTTGCTGAATTTTTCATTACTTAAAAATTTAAGGATAATCTGCAGTCCCTTCGAAGTCATGCTAAGTAACATTAAATTAACACTCTTAACTAATAATTAAGATCCGTTACTATTTATAAGATTAATAAATAAGGTAAATATTTAAATAATGGATTCCCCATGAGTTACTACTAATAAATCTATCAAATCAATATACACAAAAAAGTGGGGACATTTTAAATAAACATGCATTACATATTTACAAATTCATTTTCTTATTACTGTATTTTGAAATTAAACACCGTAAACTTATATTAATATTTTTATTAAAGTGTTACTAATCTTTGACAAAAATATTAGTTATATTTTTATTGGTTTTAGCCAATTTCCCGTATAGGAAATAAGCTATTACCGTAGGTCTCGTGATAAACCAAGACTTGGGACCGATTTACTTCTTCATTTTGATGTCCACAGAGGCCAAAAACACTAAAATACATTTATGTATATGGAGGTGTGAGTCGTCCGATTTTGATGTCATTTGGTAAAAACGTATAAACCTACGTTTATTCGAACTAGCATAATTAGACGAATGCGATGAGTTTTTGTGGGGCTTTATTTTCTTGGATAATGACATGGATTTTCAAATAAATTTGGCATATTTATTTATTTCATACAAATCTTTTAATGTTTCAATAAAAAAATAACTGATTTTACTACCTTTTCTACAGCAGCAAACCTGAGCACTTGTTACACCTAATGGTATTTAATACTCCTAAATAACATTTTTAAAGGGAAAAAATCTGTCAAGTTAAAAGAAATATTTTACTAAAAAGCCAATCAGGAAAATAACAGTTCGCTTTGTCTGCAGTTTCGTTGTGGTGGGGGTATTCAAATAATCTAGAGGTTTATATATCCTGATTAGGGTTACACTATTTCTATCAGAAAATGTTATGGAAATGTCCGCATACCGAATACAAGAGTATTTAAAAATATATTAATGCAGTTTAAATTATATACATTCAAGTTAAAAGTATTCTAATTCACATGTCAAGAAGATCAACATACACACAAATAATTTGGAATCTTTACAAATAACGACATTGTTGAGGTAAAGATAATAGTAATAAATAAAATAAAATAAAATCATCTTTATTTCCGCCCAGAAAATCTGTGTAAATAGCGTCACAAGAACATAAAATACCCCCGCCGCAGCAAACCTGCCGACTAAGCGAATTTCCATTTGTCTGAATTGATTTTCAGTTAAATATATTTTAATAACATTAGGTTTAACGAGTACCTAGGTTTGCTGCTACAAGGAAACTAATAAAGTGTGTTTTTGAGTAAAATATTGATAGCTTAGTACAAAATAAACAAATTTGCCAAGTTTGATCAAAATATATTCATAAACAAGCAAACTACAACATTTGACAATATTCTCCATAAGAATAACATGGGAATTTTAAATTTACATTTTTTTTAATTTTCTCCGTTACTAATAATCGAACAAAAATACTTTTATATACTAAATTATTTGTTTTTTTAAGCTCTTTAAAAAGGTCTAAAGAGAAATTGGGAAACTTTGTGTTTTGAGGGTCAAAAGTGAGAAAAACCAATTTTTACCCCATAAAACCCCCCGTAAAGCCCCGTTCCCATGGTCCGATCGTGCTGGTTCGCGAACTCATTCAAGTTTATCCCGCTTTACACCTTTAAACCAAATTTCATCAAAATCGGACAAAAATTACTCAAGTTATCGCGTTCACGGACGTGTATATATATATATATATATATATATATATATATGTCTATATATATATATATATACATATATAAAAATTTGAACGAATAGTGTTTTTGGTCTCTGGGGACATCAAAATGAAAAAGTAAATCGGTCCCGGGTCTAGGTCTTACCGTGCCACCTACGGTAATAGCTACTTCCCTATAGGGAAATTCGCTAATAAAACTTAACTAGAAATACTATAAGAACTAAAATATAACAGAATCTGATACTCTGTACTTTAATAAAATAGGTGTCTTCAAGAATTGTGTCCTGTGCTTACCTAAGCACAGGACACAATTCTTGAAGACACCTATTTTATTAAAGTTAGAGTTAGAGGTTGTTTTAAGTCTGAGAGATTGCTGCATTAGATGGTACTGGTTACGCTCGATAAAGATGATAATTTCTTTTTAAAAACTACAGACAACTCAGTATGTACATATATGGACGGAAATGTAAGAATATTGTATTCCTTGAAAAGAGGCTTGCCAGAAGTACAACGGAATATTTATTGCATTAGCAGTACAACAAAATAATTTATAAAATATTAAGTACCAACAGAGTTTTTACTTAGTTATAAACAGTAAGAAATCTCGTTTTGATATCCATAAGCTGGATTGGTGCTTCAAGTTATTTCTTGTATTCTGCTCAAGCGCAATTTACTTCACCAAACTCGCCCAATGTTTCCTCGTCAGAGGGAGTTAAGGAAGTGACAACGGTTGATTAAACAATTAATCAACGGCTAAATAGCAATCAACTGGAGACTCAGGTGTCATCCCCCTCCCTCACTACTTTGACACCTCGTACCACCCCCAACAACCCGCCCCGCACTCCTACCTTGGTTCCTGTAAAACTATCATAAGGAAAGCTTTCCTTAAAAAATAATAGTTTAACTTATAAAAACAGGTTGATGGTCATGATCCACAATATTTATTTGCTTATTTTTTTACTCGTGCGATCTACTCTTCATAATTCAAACATTCGATGATTCAAAACATTTGGTAATTCAAGATAAAAATCCCTAGAACCTCGAGATATTTCAAAGTTTCATCATGTTTTTTTATACCGTCCCTATTTAAAAGTTTCGTCGGCAGAACTCAGAAGGGACGGAGGTGATTTTATAGATTAATTCCTTTTCTTAACTGGAAACTCTACATTATGTTAGGCACAGTAAACTTTTGTGTTTAAGTGAAGTAGTAATTGAGTAATCTTGCTACACTACAAAAGGAACCTAACATATTAAAAAGTTAACGGTAATTCGAATGGTTTATTTTTCCCTCAAAAAATCGAACCTTTTGATAATTCATAACTCTTTGTAATTAGAATTTATTTGCTTGACCCTTCAATGTCGAATTATCAAGAGTCTACTGAGCTGTATAGTCCAGGAGCTGAGGGGGTTTGAGCATGCATGAAAGTAGTACACAATATAGTAGTATATTTGCCGACGAAATAA